AATACTCTTGTGTAAATAAGAGAGTTATAGGGTCAAAAGATGGAAATTGAATAACAGAAATGAGGGGGGATCAGAATGAAAGAACCGGGCAAAAGAGCTAGCTGAGTCTCCTAAGCAGCACAATCATCCATCAAAATCTATTAAATATAGAAGGAAAACACACACACACAGAGATACATATAGGTTGAGGATTCTTTGCCATGAAGGAAACATCCAGTTACACTTGCTCGATTCACCTGTAAAAATAAAATAAATTAAAACGTAATTTATTCTCTAGTAAGTCTTGCCATATTTTCTATCACACATTCTTTTGTCAATCTCCCTAGGACTGCTCATATTTACACAGAGGATAACGTGACTTTTCGCCTTCCTAACGCATGCCAAGCCTACGTGAGTTTCCTCTAAGTTGTGTTATCACACCTTGTGCTTCACGAAGTTGTGCTTCAAGCTCCTTCATCTTTGATGAATCCCCTTCTTCAGTCATCTGTTGTTAAGAGTGGCAGGTAGATAGCATGTAGAAACACTTATGTCATAGACTTCATGCATTTAAGTGGAGAAGTAATTCAATGCTGCATAAATCTGACTTTTTCTTTGATAAAATAATCTTACGGTTCTCCCTAGCTTATGTAAATATGAAAGGGAACACAACAAAATGTTGAGTTTACCACAAATTTCATACTGTTAAAAATTCGAATTCCAAACTTCAATTAAAAGTTGCTCCATTTCACATTTGCATGCAGCTTACACTTGCGTACACGAATTAAATTGTTGACATACAGTTGAAGTTTTAAACTTACAAGTAGTTTTGGCTGTGACAATGCTGCCTGAATTGCTCCCTGAACCTGCCTGTTGATCTCTTCCATCTCTCTCTGACGATCCAGTTAACGTACCTCTAACTCCTCCCGTTTGCGGCGTTCCTTCACGAGTTGCGATTCAACCTCAGCTAGCTTCGCTCTGACCTTATTATACTTTGCTCTAGCCTCCTCTGTTTCCTTCTTTTGGGCTTCTAACTCAGCCTGTCGTTTACCTTGAATTCTAGTGGAGCTTCCTGATACTATACCTCGCATGTATGATTTCTTCCCTACAAGTGACTTGAAGGCAGATTCAACAATTTCTGGTTCAATTCTCGCAATCTCATTCCCAGAACACTGAACAACTTGTTCTGCAACCTTATCCTACAATGAATCAAACATCTATAGAAGTCGAGCATAGAATGCGAAGGACAAGCATCACTCAATTGCATTAAAAACAGATGTAGAGTTATTTAAGGTTTAAATACATGTATCTCTTTAGATGTCTTATCAACACATTCACCATTTGCCTTTTTGTGTGTTAACTGCCACGGTGTACGCAAATCGAGCTCCTTCCCAGTCACCTTGTCCCTCTATCAAAGTGTATGATGAATAAATTATATTAAACAGTATAAGAAAATGAAATACAGATTCATCAGAAACAGCACAACTTAGGTTGAGATTGAAATCTCACAGCGTCATAGCCGACAGCATGAAAGGATTTTCGCCCACAAGCATGAGTGATCTTTTGACAGAGCATTCCATAGAGTATGAGCATTAAAAAACTAATCGTGATTCAGGCAACGAATGAAACTTAGAAGGATTTATAGCGTAAAAAACAAAATGTCTGAAACCAGCAAGAAGATATTTATCAATCCCTCCGCATTTGAAAAGAGAAACTACTTAGTCAGGATAGCAGACACGAACATCCACAAGAACCAGAAAAGATAACTCTAAAGATAGCATTATTTCAAGTTAAACTATGATCCCCAAAAGAAGCATGCATAACTTGCCAGAGTCTTTTGCGCTATTGTATCCTCTACACTCTGTGGAACCTTCTTCCATTTGTAAACATTGTGACGGGCATTCTGCCGAACAATTACAGAAAGATCTGCAATGAAATCTTTCCGCCCGGGACAAACAGCAACCATTTTTGTCGGATGAATCAGAACATCCAACTTTCCATCTGCACTCTTTTGGCGCTTCCTCTCTACTCCCAACCCTCTTGTCCGTCCTCTTCCCTTTTTCTTAGGCACAACGCATATTATACGATATAATAGTTACAGCCTGGACCTCCAGAAATCACATCTCCACTAGGCACAAATAAATATTGGGAAGCTATCATGAAAAAAGAAGGGAGTAAACCTGGGAAAAAGATGAGTACTGATTATTTGCAGGTATTTCACAAGTATACCTGCCTCCTGCTCCTCTTCACAACCATGAGCTACTTCCTGAAAGTTTGATTGATTATTGGAAGTTCCTGAATTTCCATCAGCACTTCCTTGACTCTTCTTACCCATCAATCCTTTTGGTCGTCCTCGCCCCTTTTTCTCAATCGTGGTACCCATATCTTAAACACAAAACATACAAGGCAGTAGAGTAATCAAAGTTGCTCCTAGCCATCATCTTCTATAGTAGCGTATTGAACAACAAAAAACCAAAGCGGCAAATAACATATTTCATGCCAGTGGGAGCACTTTGTTCATATAGGTAAATATCCAGCTCAAAATAGAAAAGCTAGATTTACATGTAAAAGCTAGTAGCTTTTGTCTCATAGCAGGGCACAAATGCTAATCCTTTCTTACAAAAGAAGAGATGTCATTAGAAAGATCATACTGTAAATAGGATAATAAAGCGACTACTGAAACATTTGTAACTATAGAACTAATCCTTTCTCATTGAAGAGATGAAAGAAGGGATACCAGTATACCGGAAGATAAGACAAATACCAATACAGATGAAAGTTGTAACTCTACCAGCTTCCTGAGTCTCTGAGACCTCTCCACGGCCATTCCCAATTTCCACTAGGTTTAATGGATTAGCTGAACTAGCCGAGTTGTCATTTGCTTTCTCTTCGAACTTATTCAAAACTGTTACACCTCTTGGATCCCCGAGTCTCTTTCTTTTAGGCCCATTTGGTACGAGGTATTAAAAATGAGGGATTGGGATTAGAATTGTAATTGAAAAAAATCATTAAAAGAGTGTTTAGCATATGGGTTTGACTAATCCCACATAACAAGTAATCTTTTATACTAAACACTCTTTTAGTGATTTTTTTCAATTGCAATTCCAATCCCAATCCCTCATTTTCAGTGCTTCCTACCAAGCGCAACCTTAGGTCTCGTATCTATAGCAAACCCAACGGAACCGAAGAACAAAAGCATTAGCTTAAATGCAAGGAAAATATGTTGGATATAAGAGAAATAATAGCATACGTACGCCCCTTGCTGTATCATCGACATGCTTGTTCCTTGTGAAAGAAGAAATAAGAAGACGAGGCATTCATTAAAGGATACGAGAATAAGATGTATACTAACCCATAACTATACTTGCTCCATGCTTTTGCTTTAAGCCTTGTGGTTCTGTCACATGAACAGGAATGGCCAAGTTGTCATCTTCACTCTTACGAAATTCCTCACCGAACGTTCTTAGCCCTCCTCGTCCTCCTCGACTCTTTCCCTTTGGCATGGTTGAACAATCTGAATTAAAACAAAAATGAGTGTGGAACAAATGTATGCAAACACCAAAAAGGAGTTGTAATTTCCAATTGAGAATTTTTAAAGACTAAGTAGAGCTAACGACGAAGTTTAATCTCTGCTCTGCATAAAAAAGGTTGCTTGATATGCTTGATAACTAAGTTTTGGTAAGTAGAAATGAGACAGAGGGAGACTAACAAAGGAGAAACACTGATCGTCATTAAAATAATACAACACTGGTATATAAACACAGTGCAACTCTATTGGGAGAAATATGAACGATCACTTCATTCTCTTTTGTTTTTTGCCCGCCGTTTCATTCTAACGTGTTGCCTTTCCCCTTCCCGCTTTGGTCGGATCACATAGTAATTATTTGGATTAATGACTTAATATTTTTATTATAAATTCTATTTATTTATTTGTTTGTTTACCAGCAATGCAATTCGCTTTTTCCATCCAACCATCGAATTCGAAAATTGACTCATTAAGCGTGCTATTTTTTTTTTTGGACTGAAATATTATACTTGTATATACAACTTCAAAAGTCAAAGCAAGGTTAACCTATACCCTCATTAAGCGTGCCATTTAATTCAAGCATAAAAAATAATTCTAGATGGGTTTAGTCGATATCTGTGCCTCCAATAGAAAAGTAATTCTAGAATTTGATTACCGATTCGAATATCACAGTCCAATCTCATCACGGTCTTACTTTGGCATGAATTTTTGCTTTTGAAAAATTAGTAAAAATTTTTTAAAAAATATTTATACAATTTCAAAAGGAACTAGATTTCTCTCCCGTGCGTTGCACAAGAAGTGATATTCTGAGAAGTATCAACCATAAAAGCAATTGAAAATGGAAAAGTATGAATTGAAGCATGAGGTAATATTCACATTTTGTAAAATCGAAAAAGATTTAATGTCATAATGAAAGAAATTAAGATAACAAACAACAATAACTTCATCCTGTCACTATAGCGTCTCTTTTAAAATCAAAGAGTAATAATTTTGACACAGGCAGTGGAGGTTTAATCACCCAATAAAAAAGGACACATGGCGACCCAAGCAGCGACCATATTTGCTTTCCTGTGAATCAATCCATTGAATAAGATAATTTGTAATTTGATTTTTCATATGTAGAATATCTATTGTTTGAAACTTTTAATGTAATGAATTGCGCCATAGCTTAGGAAATAAATGAAGAACCTTTTTTTTTATCATTAACAACAAAGGTAAGGAAAGTAGTTTGATCAACTTGGGAGAAAGCACTATTCACATTAGTTTCTAAAAATTCTTAGTAGGTGTCATTGACTTACACTTAGGTTGAGATACATGACTGGTAGTGGAATAGTGTCATCTCCAGCTGATCATCTTGAAAAGATGTTGTAGCCATCACTGTAGAAATATGCAGAAGAAATTAATGAATGTAAGATATAAAGTACATAATTTCAATCAAGTAGAAAGGCATTTAGAGTTAACAATGAATGACATGTATGGGATAAATTACCAATGAGCTTCACACAATGTTTTGAAATATTTCTCTATAGACCACATTCATCGTCTTGTTGGTTGGCTTTTTCTCTGAATCAAGTATTAGAATTTTGATGCCATCCATAGATCTAACTCTTGACAGAGCAACATATAACTGGCCATGTGTGAAGACAGGTCTAGGAAGGTATAGGCCAACATTGGTCATTGATTGTCCTTGACTCTTGTTGATTGTCATAGCAAATGATAGGATGATGGGAAATTGCCTTCTTATCAATGTGAATGGTAGTTTAGATTCTGATGGATTCATATCCATTCGATGGATCAAAACTTCTTGACCTTGACTTGTGCCATTGAGAGCGATTGCTTTAATAAAGTGTTTACCAAGAAATGTGATCCTCAGTCTTGTGCCATTACAGAGTCCTGCAGCCTGATCTATATTTCTCATGAGCATTATAGGAACTCCTACTTTCAAGGCAAGTCTATGTGGAGGTAAGCCAGAGCATTTTATTGTGTTCAAGAATTCTGTTGTATACAACTCTTGGAATGAGGTGTTGCCTTGATCAACAGTACTAACAGAATCAGAGCTAAAATATTCAACAACTTCAGTAGGTAGTAAGGAACACATATAATCGTTAATTTGCTCAACAACTTCAATTGTTGGTGCCAGAATAGCTCTATTAGTTAGATATGTTGAATCAGTCAAATGATCTAATAGATCAGGATATGTGGCATGCACGATTGATTGAAGATGATCATGAGAATCTAGAATTAGAAGATCATTTGGGATTTCTATCTCTGCCATGCCATCATGAGGCAATCCAATCTGGCCATCACCGATGTCTAAAAGCCAATTTGAAAATTGTTGTAACCTTGAATCATATGTGGATGAACTTGTAGATAACCGCATGTTTTTTGTAAGTTGGAATAACTTGCAATGACACCATAAATGAGAAAAGTTGATGCATGAATTGATGACATCCGCACGACTACCTTTCGGGATCACAGGCAATATTTGTCGGAAGTCTCCTCCCATGACAATACATTTGCCTCCAAAGGGATGGTTGCACTTCATAATATCTTTAAAGGTCCGATCAACAGCTTCTATACAAAAACGTTTGACCATTGGAGCTTCGTCCCAAATAATCAACTTTGCGAATTTGATGAGGTCGCACAATGGTGAATTTTGTGATATGTTACATGTGGAGTCTTCATTAATATCAATTGGAATTGCTAATCTTGAATGTGCAGTTCTACCTGATGGTAATAAGGTTGCAGCTATTCCACTGGATGCCACATTGATCACTATTCCACCTTGAGCTCTAACTGATGCAGTGAGTGCTTTCCATAAGAAAGTTTTTCCTGTACCACCAAAACCATACACAAAAAAGAACTCATCATTTGGATGGTTCATTGCATTCATTACTTGCTGGAATATAGTATTCTGCTCATCTGTCAGTAATGCTACCAATCTATCCGCTTCTCTCTGACACATATCTCTGTCAAAGTTTAATTCTTGAAGGACCAAATGATTCCTGATATCAAAATACTCGGTAGATATTGCCGTTGGCATTAATGGGTAATCATGGAGAGATTTGCCATTTATCTGTAGCAACTTCTCAATCTCAATCAAGCATGCCTGTTGCTTGTCATCATCACTTATGTTTAAATCTGTTTCATTCAATCAATAGTAATGTTATAAATTGAAGAAGACAAAACAAACTTTATGTTTATGAAAATTGCATAGAAGTATTTTGTAGTTGAATTTACCTGCAGACCTAGGGTTATTTCGAGGTACGTAGAACATGTCCTCAGATAAGAGATTTTTTGTTTGTTCCCATATCAGGTGTGGTTGTGATATGCAATGACATAGTAGCATGGACACAAAGAATCTCCTGAGATAACATCCTGTAGCCCAAAATGATGCTTCCTTTATCGCGTCAATGAACTCTTGATCATCATGAATTAATCCAAGAGCATAGCAAGCAGATCGAAAAGTTGGGTAGACAACATTATCTACAGTTCTTATCTGTTCATAACTGCGAGGTCCCTTTACTTTTGTCAATAGTACTCTAAGGTAGTATATTTCACCTTGAGAGGGCGATGCATGTGCTAACCTCCCAACCGCAAATCCCTTTTCTCTAAACTTCCAAATTCTTTTTTGCTTGTTAAAAGTATAATATTGTGGAAACTCAACATATGTCAAAGTCCTGGCAAATGGATCATCTAAATTTCGTTCCATCCATGCAAGAAACATTGATTCCTTAATTCTGGGTCTGTGAACTAATGAGCTAACTGATTCCTTGTCTGAATAGAAAACAGCCTGTTGATCCTGTAAGTGAAAACTCAAGCGCTCTACAGAGGGATATCTATGATGGATATCAAATGAAAAAATACGCCATGCACCTTCACAGGAAGAAATGTACCTGCAGTTCAAATAATGAGAGATCTCGTCGAAACCATTGTTTCCATTGTCATAGTGATCATTGTTGTATATGCCAGCAACAACTCGATCGTTTCCTTTACTAACATACTTGAACAAATATTTTATTGCAGTTGATTGATTTGTTTTCTCAACATTAATGTGGGCATGAAATAGCTTCAGCAAAGTCGCATTGTAAGGAACAACATATCTATTATCCAATGGAATACCCTTCCTATTAACAGTCTTTCCATCGTTTCTTCTCCTATATGTAGGGTAACCCTCCTCGTCTATCGAGGTTTGGTTAACAAATTTTTTGGGAAAGTACTTAGAGCATTTCCCATTTTTCATGCAAGGAGATCTCTTGTTAGAAGCTCCACACGGTCCATGGATCATGTAATTGCTGACAAGATCATATAGTAATGGATCTCTCTCTTTATCTGGTATTTCTGCAGATATCATTTTGTCTACATCATCAGGAGTGTTTGGTTTGTCAGAAGGATCTAGAAATAGAATAATATGAGCATGTGGCAAACCTCTCTTCTGAAATTCAATAGTATAAATTTCTGCAGGAGGAAAACGTAATTATTATTTAATGTTTAAGAAAGTCATTTTGTCATATCACAATTTGGTTAGGCGACTCAACTAAAAGCATAATTTTGTGTATAATGACTGAAAGTATGCATGCAAATTTTAAGTATATTTATGCATGTTTGTATAATGCATTTAAATGTTACTTTATTCTACTTAGTCAAAAGTTATTCTACCTTGATAAAAGTTGGGAAACAAATTCTACTGTGACAAACACATGATAAAATAATAAAAATAAAAGCTTAGAAAAAGTTTTTATGGTAACCCGCTACTTCCTAACTTGAATAAATAAAATAAACATAGTTCTTATGAATATATTTAAATTAAAAGTCAATATATTAACACAAGGAGAAAAAAGGCAATCTGCATTACTCAATATATAAAATGAGACGCATGATTTTAAGTAACAAAAGTATTGCAAACAGTATAGTGAGGACCAATTGCAATAGTAAATTTATTTATGAATTTCAATTAACTATGCTATGATAGTAGATTGGCAAAAATATATAGAAAATAACACACCGATAGGAGGATTAAATATTACCTGCTCTTACTTTTCCAAAAATTTTTTGTTCCTTAATGATTTTCATTAACGCTTCAAGCTTCAGCTTGAATATTCTGCATAATATGTCTGGTCGATCAGCTGGATTTAATTTATGCCTGTTGCAGAATCTCTTTACTTCTGGCCATGCTGGATTGCATGTGAAAGTTAAAAATAAGTCAGGATAACCAGTAAATTTGCATAGTGCCATTGCATCTTGATAGTTTTGTACCATATATCGGGCTCCCCCAGTAAATGAGGATGGAAGTATAATCCTTTTTCCTGTGCGAGATGGATCTGTCTCACCCCTGGTGAGTGCATTAGTGAGACCTCTGTACATGTCCACCCGTAGCTCTTTTTGATGATTACGGATATAATTGAGTCTTTCACTCTCTACCATTGTATATCCGTCAACAATGAATTGTTGAAGTAGCCTTTTGGAGTGTAGCAAAACAGACTGCTCATTATTTCTATCCATCAATCTAAAAGATAGGTACTCCCGTGGGGTTAGAGTCTTCCTCTTTTTAGTCTGAGTAAGAGTGGTTTCACTATGTTTAATGGTTGAATCATATCCATTATTTCCATAGTGAAAAATAATAGGATATTGCAGGGGAATGTATGCTTTGTGCAATTCATCAATTCTTTGCAACGCTCCAGCTCTTTTCTCAACAATTATGTCTCGTTTGAAATATGATCTATCAAAGTCTCCAACCAGTAAAGCAGCAACCTCAGATGCTGTTGGCATATCATAGACCCTATCACTGTGATCTGAATTCCTAATGAGACGAATATTGACATTAGAATGCTGGTCACGCTTGAGAATTTCAGATGCCATCCGATAACTAATGACAAGGCCATTGTGTTTGTCAAGACAATCCTTTATTTCTTGTGTAATTCCTTGATCAATTGCAGACCTATGACAATGCTTGCTGAACAGAAGAGTTAGTGTTGTTAGTAAGAACACAAATAATGTTTCACAAAAGAAGTCCCAATGTCTAAACAATGTTTAAGTAGCAATGATAACGGCAAACTGATTTTTCTTTTGAGAAAGTTAGTATCACATTTTATGGATCACTTATGCGGAGATAGTTCGGCCTTAATTTATTGGGACATTTAAATCTAAGGCAATATCAATAATAATTTCATTGCTTATTATTAATTCATGCGATGTTTTTTATATGTACAGTACAAATATTAAGGCTGACAAAGTATATTATTGATAAGGACTGCAATAATTTATTAGAAATTATGATTAGAAATTCAAGCTAATGATATAGACATTAAATAAAGTTATAAGTTGGTCATACCTGACAACGGATATTCTGTTAGATATTTCATTTTCAGTATCATATATATAGAGCTGAGAGTAGACCGGCTGAGATCCTTCAGGAGGTAGCAAGCTTCCTAGTAAGTGGTAATTCTGACCAGACATAACGAAAGAATAGGGACCTGCTCCAGTGTTTATCTTTGTCAAAGAAAAGTTTACGAAATGTTTCTGGTGGAGGCTGCATAAGAGGAACCAATATTTTGCCATGGCAGCAACAAATAGAGAACAAAGGATATTCATTGGAAGGAGCTCTCTTAAGCCTTTCGTTAAACCACATCAAAGCACCACAATAATGGCACACATAATCTGCATCACCTTCATCAATATAGCCTTCTGTGGATAGATCGACGTTATCGTAATCATTTATATCTACGACGTCAACCTCACAATCTGAGTCACCATTCGCTTCATCTTCGTCTGCAAATTTAAAATAAAAAGAATTAATCCTCACATATGAATAATTTAGTGAGAGAAAGATACCCATAAATATATGAAATTATAACCTGCACCAACAGCATTATCAAGCTTGGGAGAAAGGTTAGTTGCTAAATTGGTAATGTTGCAAAGTCTGGAACAATTCACAGTAGCCGTGCTACCATTGTGTCTCAAATACGATAAATCTGCTGGCTGCTGAGTGTTTTGTTCAATTGTTCTGTCACAGATACCTGGATGTTGTGGTTTACTTACTCCTCCATAATCTGTGATATCTTTGGATGCAATCCTCGTTGAAGTTGTCATGGCTGAAGTGGAGCTTCCACGAAGTTGGGTAGAAAGTTTCGCTTGATAAGTAGGTGCAATATAGGCAGAGGTACTTCCGAAATGAGTGGATTGTTCTAACTGATCAGTGCTGTTGAGATAGCCATATATATTAGCATGACCACTTTGTCTTTTACCATGTGCAGATTCCGATATTCCTTCCATAACTGCTGAGGATACAGATTTCTTTCTTTTCGTTTGAATATAAATATCCACGGGAGAACTTTCAATGACATCATGGTGTTGTGCAGCATGAGTACTGCTTCCTGTAATTACAGAAAACGAAAGTATTTGTGAAATAAAAACAATACAGTAAAGCAAGGTCACTATGATGACTTTCAGGAGAGAGATGGATTGTCTAACCTTCAGGCCGAGACGCTGTAGTGCAACCAACATTCTTCCTTATCCTTCCCATGTATAGTGTTAAGATGAAAGAAGTACGTTCAAGTGTATTAATCAAGATATGAGAATAGGATATAAAAGACATGGAAAGGATGGAAATCAGAAAGTTACTTCGTTAGTTGACATTGGCGAAACGTCTTTCAATGCATGGGCAATATTGACTTCAATAGCCACAGGAGACAAGTTACTTATGGCGCACATGGGAAAAGTACTATAATACAATTTTGGATACACAGTAGGTTATTTTTCTGTTTGCCAACTGGGAACAACCCACGTCATTTAAAGGGTTATGAAGATTCGAGGTGCAATTAAAAGATGGGAGTCAGAAGGTCTGCTGAGCAGTATATAATACTTAAGTAACACTGGTTTTATTTTTTGTCGCCAGCATTTAATGTTTCTCGGAAAATGTTCAGGTGGGAATGTATTTATGAGTATTACCTCCCTAGAAATATTTAGTTGTAATTGATAGTTGATTAATTTATTCTATTTGACTCTTCAACTTACCCGTCACGGAACAAAAAGTTATTGTGTTCATTAACAATTTTGTTGATACATATGAAAGTATTTTTATTTTAATTTATGGAAGATGAAGTAAAATATAGACAATACAAGAGCGAGAATTGGCTGTGGAAAGGAAATAAGAAAATCAATAAATGCTTACAGTACGATTCATTTGGATGGTCCAATTCAAGTTTGTAAGCCAACAGTGTGAAATCCCTCGTCATCGAATTCATAAATTCCATGAAATGATTTATAGCATTAAAATCTTCACATTTATACTATTAATTATTTCCATTGAGTTTTGCGTGTGACGCGATTAAATATGCTATTAATTCATATATTTAAAATGCAATAAATAAGCATTTATTAGATTAATAGAAAGTGATTCACCAGGCATATATCACAATGGGTCCGTTTGGCGGGCTTTTGGGGGGTTTAAAAGTAGCTTATTTGTAGTGTAAACCCGATTGGAAAAATCATGGTCCATTTTTTGGCTACGACGTTTATTGAAAATGAAAAATAATTTAAAATATGAATTTACAAAATATAATAATTTTAAATTTTAAATTATTATAATAAGGACAAATTATATTTAATGAATAAAATATATTTAAATTACAAATCATAGTAATGTGAAGATTTTTGAACCTAATAATATTACATAATTAATTAGATGCTATATTCTGCATAATTTATGTAAATGTAAAATAAAAAATAATATTAAAAATTAAAAATATTAAAATTATTTTTACTCAATAAAAATAAATAATTGAAAACTGATTCGGAAACACAAAAAGTATATAGAGATAAGCATAAGAATAATATAAACATAAGAGTAAAAATATCTTTTAATTCTAATAAGCTACTTTTGCGTAAGTTATAAGTAAGTTTTGGGTATTTTTACAATCGTACCTAGGAAAGCAGCTTTTGACACCTAGAAGTTATATTTTTTAAACAGGAAGTAAAAATAATTTTCAATCAAATGATGCAAACTATTTTGCAACTCCAGTTTAAAAAATTGAAAGTTTAGTAAGCCTGATGCAACTATGACCATAAAGTGTGGAAATTCCTATAAAAAGGTGACAAAATATTTGAAATTAAAACACGATTAGATAGCAACTATAACAATGAAATGGTAGATTGATATCAATAAACATCTTCCAACGAAGACTCATGAACACTTAATTGATTTAGTATCACAAAACACGTCCAAAAAATGCAGTCCGGATGAAACTCAAAGCGAACATTTTTGCCAAAAAAATTAAAGCCAAATTTAATACAATTTAAAAGTCCAGATGTTCCCAATTAAATTTTCAGATATAGCTAGTCATTTCTCCTTATCTTCTTTGCCGGTTTGGTGCTGCTGAAGCTTGGAGGGGACCCTTCAGAGAGGCCTATATCATCAAGTTGTTCTGATTCATTTTTCCCGTTCCTCTTTTTCTTTGACAAGGTCTCCACAGGTGTGATTATCTGAGATATTGTAAGATCATCATCATCATCCGCAATGTTGTGAGTGCCAAGCATCTTGGGAGATGAGTATGAGGAAGATGACTCGATTGGTGAATTCTGTCCAGTAGAATAGTGGGAAGAGAATTAAGGGTATTTTTGAAAAATGTGATGGAGAATGATGATGGTATGGTAAAATAATTGAACAAACTATTAAGAATGACGCCGGAAAATATGCTATGACATGTAGAATTTAATAATCCAATTAAAATAGATTATAGTCTCCTGACCTTGACATTAGCGTTGGCATCAGCGCTGACATTAGAGTATGTGAACTGATCCAAAATATCCTTTTTCACAGAGAACTGTGACACTCCCATACTACTGGCAGGATATTTTATGTTGTTTTCCTTAACCTTGACCATTACGACAATTTCCTTTCCAACAGGTCGATCTAACTCTTTTGGAAAAGATCGAGACGACCCCACCTGATATCATAATTTATCAACAAAATAATTCAAATGACAGCAAGACAGTTTAGACTAAGAATGACAACATCCAAAGGTATAAACCCATGATACCTTCTTCTTAAGTTCAGAAGCTGAACATTCTAATAGAGCAGATGCATGCCGGTTGAAGAAAAGCATCGAACATTGTCCAGTGGAATCAAATACTTTGTAATGGACTTTGAACCTTTTACAAATGAACAACTAATTATATAAACGATGGAGATGAAGTATGGACTTCAATGACAATGAATAACTTTATACGTACTTGGGTTCAGTCTTAAGCACTTCTTGATTACAAGAAGTACACTTCATCAATTTATCATCAACATGCACTGGTTTTTTATCGCATGGACATCCATCATAGGTCCAACCATACTCACTCTCAACTTTCTGGATGGTGACCTTGGTGACAATTTGACTTTCCTATTTAGGTAGAAAATAAATTTATAATTAAATTTAATATATAGGTGTATGATTAATGACTAATTTGGTGAATGTGATATATATGTGATTAACTGAAGAGACAATAATTATCTGAATTATAATGGCAAGACTATATTAATTCGTGATGTCTAAATGTGTGACAAATTGAAAGAAAAGGATAATATCAACCTTTGTGAGTTTGGAAATTTCAGAAAGGGGAATTCTGGTTGGGAAAGTCAGGAGTGAGTTACTGGTAGCATCAAGCATTACGGTAGATGAAACTTGTGAGAAGTTCTGACTTGCTCCAGGTGTCTCACCGAGTCTGTAGACATATTCAGATTTATAATGAATACTAACATTTGTCAAACAGTTGCATAATTTAGATATAAAAAGCGACAAAGACAATCAACGTAAGAGTAAACCTGGCAATTAATTCTCTGACTTCAGGGAGGTCTGGATTGAACAAAACTCTTGTAGCATGGAAAGCATTAGTTATATGTCCGTAACCTTAAATAAATACAGGGAGGTAAGTACAGAATATAACATCCAAATATAACTTGAAGTCATTATTTTCGCAATAAGCAAATACCTTTAGTTGTTGATATCCTTGCAAATCGGATGACAACTACAGTAGGAACTTCCAAATCATCAGTCCTAGCTTCAAATGCATTGATTGCCACATCTCCGAAAAGAGCCACGTTAATGGGGATTTGGCTGCATTAAATTAAGGTCTAATAAAAAATGAACTGAACAACGAAGCAGTAATGTATCTTATTATGAATGATTCAGAGGAGTTTGTGACTGAAGTGATGTTACTTATGATCAGCGATGGTGAAATTCAGTGTCTTTATGGTCTGTGAGTCTTTTTTGTGGTCAACCAAGTTTCCAAATGCTTGAAGGAACCCAATGACATCTGCAATTTTTTTTTCATACGATTAGAATAAAACATAAAGGAGTGAACAAACATGGGAAGGATATGATTACTAACCAATCAATTCATAATTTGTAGCATTATAGTCAGCAATATCCTTTATTGGAACAAAGTTAAATGCATTTAAAGGGACTGCTAAGTCATGCTTTTGGAAAAACGTCATGGAGTGGAAACGAATCTTCCAAGTGTGATGACAAAGTTTGAAAGCATCATTGTTGGGCACAGCTACAAAGTTCTCAAACTGATATACTTCACCCTCTGTTATTTCATCCATGTATCTTTGTAATTGTGCTTTCTGGGACATAAAAGCTTCAACTCTATACCCCTGCATGTTTTCATTACAATGAGAGCCACAGAAGACAAATAATATGAGAATCGAAAATAAAGTTCCATTTTTTGTCAAACCTGTTCATCAACTAAAATCATCCCTACTTTAAAAATATCAAAAGGCGGTGTCTTTTTAGCCATAATCCATTTTCTCAGCACTCTCGCAACAATACACCAGGTATCTTTAGAATCATCTACATCTTTGATGAGATCATGATCGAAGTTTGCCATTTGTTGCTGTGATGGTACTGACCTGCACAAATTAGTTGAAGGAGAGAAATGTTTGAGGGCCTAACATAAGGTAACGTTTGAAGGAAATAACTGTTTAACAGGAAGTAGATACCTTAAAAGTTAGGCTGTGGAGACCACGCAATGTACAGATCCCTGATAGATTGTATGGTAAATCAGCAGCCTCAGTTTGAATTGGATATCTGCTTATATAGAGAATAGATGTGTGTATTAGCATGGTTGATAATATAACCAACTATAATGAATGATCATATGCTTAGAGCTGGCCTCTAGCAGTCTCGTTATGCAAACATGCGCACTGACATCGAAGAGGCAAATGCTGATTGAAGTATCCAATGCATTAAAGGATATAGAAGGGGAATCAGTAAATGTATAAATAAATATATCTACTGGAAATCTGAAATGGCCCTGCATTTTTTTTTGATAAATAATCTAAAGTCATTAAAAATTAATCAAATTATATGAAAAGTAATTATATAGATAACAACCCACGTCATTTAAAGGGTTAAGAAGATTCGAGGTGCAATTAAAAGATGGGAGTCAGGAGGTCTGCTGACCAGTATATAATAATAAGAAAGAAATATTTAAGTAACATTGGTCTTTTTTTTATCGCCAGCATTTAATCTT